TGTATACCTAGTACAGATCCTTTCTTTGAATGGACAGAAGAAAGCTACACATGTGGAAGCGTCAAGCCTGCCATAGCCATCGGAAAATGTATAATCATACTAGAATACAGTACTACTTTTGAAACTAAACTCCATATTCAGAAGAACCACCATCCATTCTTTTAAACCATATTTAGAAGAATGGACTGTGCAGTATCCTAAGGCACTACAACACACCAGTGGCTTTTTACCTATATTGTAAGCCAAGATTTGGAGGTTTATTTCCACACTTCATTCTAGCAGAATCTGGACTTTCTTCTTCTCCCCTTCCTGCTTGTAGAGCATCCCAAAGCCTGGAGACTTTCCCAGCCTTTCGAAGCAGGTTCTTAGCAAAGTTTAGAAACATCACATTTTCAACTACAAATGAATTGCCAAGTTGGCATAATCAGGGGCTGGATGGGTATTCTTTGACTTTTGTTGTTAAAAGCAGCATTTCTGAGCTACTGATTTTAGGAGGCACAATGGGCTGAAGGGAAAGGATCATTTATCCTGGGAGAAGCAGTGGGATCAAGCAGAAGAACAACACTGGGTCTTGGCCATAGAGTACTGTTGAAGAATGGAAGTGTATCATGGCACATTTCCTCTAACCCAAAAATGTAGTGCATCAGGGAGGGGGGAAAAGTTCCAGTCCAAGTCCCTTAATATATTTGTGCTCTACAATCATGGGATTGTTTTATTTTTGACAAAGTGCCCCGTGATATTCTGAATAGCAAGGATAAAACAACTGCCAGATGGATACATAGTTCACTACAGAATCATAGTCAGAGGGTAATGATTAATGGCTCCTTCTCAGACTGGGAGAAGATATCAAGCGGGGTAACCCAGGACTCAGTCCTGCGCCCAGGGCTCTTCAAAAATTTTTTATTAATAACCTGGATTAAGGGATGCATGGAATGCTAATCAGATTTGCAGATGACACAGAACTGGGTGGAATAGCTAATATCCTGAAAGACAGAAACAAAATGTTTTGAGCACTGGGCTGAAAACAACAGAATGAAATTCAACAGAGATAAGTGCAAAGTACTGCACTTAGGAACAAGCAACCAAACACAACAGTACAAGATGGTGGATACCTGGCTCATCAATACTGCAAATGTGAAGGATCCTGGAATTGTCATAAATCACAAGATGAATATGAGCCAACAGTATAATGTGGCTACAAAAAAGGCAAATGCAATTTTAGACTGCATTAATAGAACTATAGTCTCCAAATCCCATACGGTACTAGTTCTCCTCTATTTGGCACTGGTTAGGCCTCATCTTCATACTGTGTCTAGTTCTGGACACCACACTTCAAGAAGCATGCTGACAAATTGGAACAAGTTCAGAGGAGAGCAACAAGGATGATTAGGGGCTGGAAACCAAGCCTTATGAGGAAAGATTAAAAGAACTGGGCATGTTTAACCTTGAAAAAAGAAGACAGAGGGGTTATATGATAACACTTTTCAAATACTTCAAAGGCTGCCATACAGCAGAGGAGCAGGACGTATTCTTGATCAACCCTGAGTGCAGAACATGCAAGAATGGGCTCAAGTTACAGGAAGCCATATTTTGGTTGAATATCAGGAAAAAATTTCTAACCGTTAGAAAAGTACAGCAATGGAACCAGTTATCTCGAGATGTGATGAGTGCTCCAGTACTGAATTTTTTCAAGAGAAATTCAGGCAGCCACCTGGCAGGTATCTACTGATTTGTATTCCTGCACTGAGCAAGGGATTGGACTCTATGGCCTTATAGTCCCCTTCCAACTTCATGATTCTGTGATTCAGCCATGCTTGAATTGTAGGACCAGTTTGTGGTAGTGCTGCATAACTGAATGTCTTCTACGTGCATTCATCTTTAAGTGTTGTGCTATTCACTGAATGAATTAATTTTGTCGGGGTATTTTGAGGAAGGAGTTGGAATGCTTGTTTTTTGTGTGTGTATGGGGTTTTTTTAACTATCCATTTTAAACTACCTCCATTGTATGGTACATCCTTATAGACTGACCCCACCTTTTGTCACGCAGAAGGGTACAGTATAACTAAGCTATTGCAAAAACACAACACCCGTTAAAACAAGAGACCATTGTCTGGCTTCTGACCTTACAAACTGTTCACTTCAGCAATGTCATTCTGAAAATGCCTGACTGCAATCCAAGAAATGCATTTTCAATGTGGATGCAAACATTCCTATTACTGATAGAACAAGCACAGCAGTTTTTTGCCTTGTGGGGACTGGAGCCTTGCAAGCTGAAGTTACAGGCCCAGAAGTGACACTTCAAGGCCGCGTCCTTTATGACATGTGAAGCAAAGCAAAGATCTTCCTTTTCTTTTTCTTTCTTTCTTTCTTTTTGTTGTTGTTGTGATGATGATGATGATGATGATGATGACGATGACGATGACGATGACGATGACGATGACGATGACGATGACAGCAAAGCTTCTGCTGACAACATGAAAAAAAACCTAATTCTTCCCATTTGGTAATATTCATTGAAGTTAAAATACAATTAATCTGGTCACAATTCATGGGGCAGGTCATTTGAATTGTGTCAGCAGAGCTGCCCACATCAACAGCCAGTGGAAGGAAAGACTGGTTTCTTTGTTTCTTCTCAAGATCCCATCCTGCTTTTCAGCTTCCAGCATACAGCTCAAGATATACAAACTATCCTTCTTATCCTGTCAGGAGGCTATGCAGTAGGGTGAGGTAATCCGCTTAACACAACATTGTGAAGGTGGTGAAGTTTGGGGAGTGATAAATAAAGCTAGGAATTGGTGACTGAGTGGTGCAGCTTTCTGGTAGAGTGGGTGGAGCGGAGGTGCAATTTGGGTTCAGTTTCAGGCAGGAAGACGTTGGGTTCACACAACATGTTCCAGTGCTAACTATCTTCACTATGTGTTCTTGTCACTTCTCCGGCTGTTGGAACTAGCAGTACCTGTGCAGTCTCAGCATTTGCTTCACAATATATGCACATGGTATAGGCTATGCTGTTTTCATATCATTCTCTTATTGTCTGGAATTCCCTTCACATATCAAACTAGGCCTCCTTTTGTTATTGCCCTTTCACTGAAGGACAAGCCTAAACAAATGATTAATATATATTTTATCTGTCATTTATACACAGCCTTTCTCCCCACGGGACAAAAGGCATCCCACAAACAATTAGAACTATATAATAAATAATATTAACTATTAAGTAATTAATCTGATACCTTTTAATATAGTATTTTCAGTTGTAAACCATGCCAACTGACACTATCATCTATATCCTTGCCAACTTCAATGTATCTGTTCTAGTCTTTTAAGGGGTAGACTTGCATACAGTGCTTCATCCAGAGCTGTCAATACCTAATTACAGTAACATGCTTACTGTAACATGCTTACTTGGGTGGAATGAGTAATATAAATAATACTGTATTGTAGTAGTTGTAACTAACAGCTAGTTACTTTTGAAAGTTAATTTTAACGGTCACTTTAAAGCTTTTTGGAAACTTTTGACAGAAGGTTTTGAGGTTTTAAGCTATTCTCTTATCAGTCCTAAGTGGCAAGAGAAGCATTCTTTGATTTTGTTTTCTATATTTTTATTAACGCACTCCCTTAGACACACACCCCTTAATATATTAAGGGGCAAGCTGGCTGGGTCCTAATCACAGTTGTGATGATCTGGTAGTGACTTTTTACTATTAAATGCTCCTTGCCCCACATCCAAAGGCTCCCAAAGACTTCTCCAGGGCAAAATGAATGTAGCCTCCAGACCTGAAAGGGGAGGGGTTAATAGGAAGTGTTCAATTAGCTTTGATTAAATATTGGCACCAAATGATGACATCATCTGGTTTGCACTGTGGAATTATGGAAACAGAATTTTGGCCACTGATCAGTGTCTAAAATGAAATATTCTGAGCTCTGGCTTGTGAGTCCCTAGACTGTGGGCATCCATGGGTTCGTTTAATATACTTGTCACAATGTAAGTGCATCATCATCGGGACACACTGAAATATTCAAAAGAGCAATCCCACAGTACTTTGCATTTCATATTAAGGGTCATCAAAGCACCCCTGCTTCTGTGTAAGGTCATATTCCGAGAGCATAGGAATAAAGAGCAATTTGCCTCGACTCTTCTTGTGGAAATATTCCGCACTAAACCATCTCAGAAATCACTGTAGAATGAAGACTTGTGAAAATCTTTTTAGATGGTTTGCAGACTCACTGTAAAGCTGAATACCTACATGAGCTGAAGTGCTCCCTAATGCGTTTAAAGTGTCCCCTTGTATGTATGGCCCCTAATCAACAAAGAGTGGTTCTGGGTTCTCTGCCAGAGGAAGATACAACATGTGGTTTTCAAGGCTTTCTCTTCTTTGTAAGAACCAGTTCTACCTCTGCTCAGATGGCAGCCACAATATCCTAGACTAATTTACTCTAAAAAGTCTATATATAACACAGATTGTGATTGTTTGGAATATGTATATATTTGTGAGATGACAACTGAAAGCATCTTACGGGGCACAGGCTGAAATTGTCCAAACTTCCTCCTATACTGATAGGTTTTTTTCAAAATGTTCTGATCTCATAGAACAGCTTCCACACAGACATGCCTGGAAGAAAGCTACATGAACTGCAAAGGATATTTCTGGTTCAGAGCCACAGGTGCATCCTCTATTCATCTGTATTACTTTTATGAAACACCCCCCTCAGTCCCTTGAAATTCAGTCTTGCTAGAAAGATCGGCAGTGGGTGGAAAAGCTGTCTCAGCAACCAATGTTTTTTTCTTAGAACATATACTTGAGAACTTCTACAGGCTACTACTTTGTACCACCTGCCATACATAACTGCAATCAGAAACAGTGATTCCACAATCCTTTTCTTTACTAGATAATGTGAGGTCAAGGGAAATGTTCTGTTCTCACATACACACTGTGGGTTAACTCCTTTAACAATTCAATGTTTGTAACCTCTAGAATCTGACATTTTCTTTCTCCTAGATCATTGGAACAATTCCATTGATGCCTAACCCAGTCCCATCCAATCAGGCAGCAGGAGGGGCTCAGGGCCTTCAAGTGCAGCCAATCACACCACAGTTACTGACCAATGCCCAGGGGCAAATCATTGCAACTGTAATTGGAAATCAGATATTGCCTGTGATCAACACCCAGGGAATCACACTCTCACCACTCAAACCAGGCCAACAGGTAAATTTTGAATATAGTGTTTAAACTGATTGACAATAATGGAAATATCCTTCTTAACTACAGTTGTGGTTTCTCTTTATCCATAATCCATTTACTGTGTTAAGCAATGGAATTGGAATGCAATCAGATACGTCTTTGGAATATTTAGACAGCAGATATAATTGGCCTTATATTTTGAGAAGGAGGGCCTTAACCTACACTTTCCTTCAGAGGCCAAGCCTTCAGGACTTCAACTACAAGAAGCTCCTGAGTAGGTGTATATTTTTTCATCTAATTTGTTGTACAGTACTTGAAAGAAGCCTTCTCCTGTTTTGTACAGTACAGTGGTGCCTCGCTTAACGATTACCTCTTTAAATGACGAATCCACTTTACGATGGTTTTTTGCGATCACTATTGCGATCACAAAACGATGTTCCTATGGGGAAAATTCGCTTAACGTTGATCGATTCCTTGCTTCGGGAACCGATTTTTCACTTAATGACAATCAAAAACAGCTGATCATCAGGTTTCAAAATGGCCACCCGCTGTGCAAAATGGCTCCCCACTGTGCTTTAGGATGGATTCCTCGCATTATAGGCATTGGAAAATGGCTGCCCTATGGAGGATCTTCGCTGGACACTGAGGGATTTCGCCCATTGGAATGCATTGAACGGTTTTCAGTGCATTTCAATGGGTGTTTTAATTTCACTTGATGATGATTTCATGTAACAGCGATTTTAACGGAACGCATTATTGTCGTCAAGTGAGGCACCACTGTATAGGACCCCTGTTGCATTGAGTGCATTTTTCAAAGGCAAGGTTGCAAACAGGGTCTGAATGGGTCCCTAGTAGAGATGAGAATGAACGGCTGGTTAGGCGGTTTGGGGAGGTTCATTTTGCAGCTGATCCTCAGTTCAGCACCCCACCCCCTCCAGCGAGCACCCATTCAGCCAGAGAAGGTGGGGCAAGGCACTGCTGCTGAATGAGTGCCTATTGGAGAGAATGGATCAGTTGTTTGGCTGAGAAACAGACTGCGAACCAGTGGTTCATGCCCATCTCTAGTCCTTTGATCTGGCTTATGGCAATGCCAATGCAGGGCCCTAGAGGCCATCACCTATGCCTTTTCAGAGCACCTCTTCCCTACCTGTGTGCATTTATTTGTTTAATAATGTTCTTCTGCTGCAGTTGTTATATCAATGGCAGAAGGTAGCTTCTTACCCCTTTATTTCAAGCATTCTGTAGCAGCAGCAAGCACTGAACCTGCATTGATGTGGACTTCTGGAAGCCATCTTGGTGTCTCCACTGGGAATGTTTGGTGCATTGTGGAGGGATGAATTGTGAAAAACTTAAGTGGTTTGACTACTGAAGGCTGTTATAAAGGGAAGGGTGTTGAAAGTAAAATCAAGATGAAGTCTGTCACTGCTGGAGTGGGTGGTAAGGAAGGGAGGTCATAAGTAGAAATAGAAGGCCCGTCTGATTACAAGAGTTAGGCACACTGTCCTGAGGGCCCTTTCAATCTGCAAGCAATTCCAGGGTTTATATTTTCAGAGCAGCAGCTAAGTGAAGAGATATGTTCTGCGATCTTTAGTCAAGCCTATTTAATCCTACTTCCAATGAAGACTCCTGCAAGGCTTGAAAGCTAGTAACTGTTTTTGAGATTTTAATGGCCGAAACAAGTTATTGCCCATCATAGCTTTCAAATATATTTCCAGAATGATCATACCAATGCAAGTTATCAGGAGAAACTACCCTTGGTGTGCTTTTCTAAGTAAATTCATGGTTGCTTTATCAGACATTGAATCTTTTGTGGGTTTCATGTAAAATTCTTAAGCAAAGATGCAGGTTTATTGTACTGGAGTAGGCGGGAGGAAGAGGAGAAGGATAAAGATCCTTTAGCAACATTGGACTCTAAAACTACATTTGCAAACAGTTCTTTCTCACCAGCTCCAAAACTAAAACCATCATGATATTAGAAAATAATAACTGGGAGACCACTTCTTTAATTCTGATAATCCTTGTTCCTCTAAAGGTGCTAAAGATTATTTGCTGGTATTTTTTGCCACCAAAGAGTAACATGGCTACTTTGTTGGAGAAAAAAGCCTAGTTACATGAATCCCTAAACACTAGGACACCTTTCCATTTTGACCCTGAAAGGGGAAAAGCTTATGGACTAACTTACACAGACAAATTACATTTATTGTTTTAAATAATAGAGTAAAATTCCCACAAAGTAAGTCAATTTGTTGTGCTTGAATTGGTCCATATCTCAAGAAGCTCAAGAATACATTTAAAAATGGATATTTTTTCAACAACTAGTTGGCCACATTAATAGAAACACATATTAAATTGTCTGTGCCTTTTTTATTTTCTGTCTTCAGTTATAGTCTGAAAGTAAAATCAATTATTTGTAAACAGTCATATTCGGGGACATGGGACTATACTAGGAGGAAACCTGTCTAAATACATTTTTATTTCCTTTATGTTAAAGAGTCAGAAGCTAGCTTTCTGCACAAATTTATTTCCCTGCATTTTAGGGTCAATACAGAGATCAGGTATATGTCAATCAGCTATAAGATTTTTTTAAAGGGAAAAAAAACTGCTACAGTGCAACTATTTTAAAGTTGTATACAGCAGAAAGTATTTATGCACAATGGCCTGAATCCTATTACATACTTGCATAAGTAAATTTGTGCAAGCATTGGTGGCAAAGTGCTGCTCAGTAAATGCTGCAATTTGCATTCATGGACATTCATGCCCAGATGCATGATTGAGCATTTACCCAGGAATGCCATCAGCAGCTCATCACTGAGCAACAATTTGGCAACAAGACGTACACAATTTCCTGTATGTGTGTATAAATGATGAATAGAATTCTGGTCCATGCTTAATTCTCCTGTACAATCAACTGGTCCTAAAAGTACTTAATGTTGGAGGTCCATGCTCTTGCTTTCACAGATGATATGAGAGAGTTATTATACATTAATAAGAGTATTCTGAGAAAACACATTCTAGATTTAGCATATATAGCAAAAGTAAAAATCAAAGAGTTGTGGCACCTCACAGACAAAACAATTATTGCTCACTTGTGCCTGTGGAACTGTAATCCACAAATACAAAAAACTGTAATCCACAAAAGGTCATAATGAAATAAATCTGCTGTAAAGTGTTTCAACCCCTTTGGACTTTTAGTTTTGTTAAAACAGAGTAGCACAGCCACCCTGTTGGAAATTGCTAGTTCAGGTTTAGATTTCATTGTTAAGAGAAGAGCATAAATAATTTTTTTAATTCACACCACAGTATATGTCATTATAAGCAAATTCATTGCCAGCAGTAACTGTATATTGGCAAATACAGGATTTGGTTGTAGACTGGATATGGAATCAACCTTTATGAAACAGATTGTGCTCATGAATAGAATACAATGTATTCAAGTGCACTTGGTACAAGGTTTGCCTGTTCTGTTTCCTCTTCTTTTGAATGTACAAATTAAACTTTGAGATGATAAAGTACTGCGAGGTCCATTGAGGAAGACATAGCTGCATCAGCTCCAAATGTTTATGGCTAAAATGAAAAATGATTTCAATTTAACAAAATATATGTGTAGAATTCTAGACCTAATCAATGGCATGGTATGGAACAAACATGATATCTAACCAAAATCAAGACAAACCTGAAGGCCAATTCACACATTTGCAAAAAATAGTAATAATAGAGTGGGTATCAGAGTAGAAGACTACTACTCCCCTCATGCTGTGTGAGATTTAAGTTGAATAAATACAGTAGTACCTTGGTTTGTGGAATGGATCCGTTCTACACAATGTTACATAGTATGGAAATTTCGCAAACCAAAATGCCAATTGCGCTATGAAAGGGGCGGCATTATAGGCGCAATGCACCCTGGGAAAGCCATTTCGTAGTACAAAAAGCAAGAAGAAAAGAAAACCACGTAAACTGGGGCTTTATTTCTTATAGATTTCGGTTTGTAAACTGAAAATTACGTAAACTGAGACGTTCGCAAACTGAGGTACTACTGTATGTTCATATTTAGTTATGCAGTAACAATACATGTGTACATCCAAGGTCAGACAAAGTCATGTATGCATCATAGGACTTATACATAAGCCCACTGTTTCTCATTTTAAAGAGGATTAAAATAGCCAGTAATTAACAGGATCTAAAACATATTTAAAACTCATACATGTTTTTATCTCACACACTACTACTTTACTTGATTGGACCTGAAGAAATTTGAACACTGCATACACAAGCTTTTTCTCACCCCTTCTCTTGCACTCTCTCAGTATTTGTTGTTGTTGTGTCAACAAGTGGGAACTGATTTATAGCAATCCAAATTAGGGTTTCAAAATAAATGAAAAATTAAAATAGTAGTTTTATCTGTTCCACACTCCCAGTGAGCTTCCATGGCTAAGCAGAGCTTCTAACTTAGGCCTCCAGAATCCTAGTCTGTCACTCTATCCACTACACCACATTAAGTATCACCTCCCAGTATTTAACCATTCTTTGTTAGGATCAGCTCTGACTTATTTAATTATAGGTGTTAAGGACAGCATGCTCACCATCTGAAGCTTTGAGTGCTTTGAAATGATGTAAAGTGTACCTATAGGAATAGTGGGATTGAGAGTGACAAATAAGCCAGAGACCTTTGAGTAGTGTGGGTGGGATATAAATTACCGTAAATAAATAAATATATAAAATAAATAAATAAAATAGAGTCCCATGGGATTCCTCTTAGATTACTCCTTAAAACCCCATCTTTTGTCCCCTGCATTCCTCCAGGGTCTAGTACAAATGCTTATAGTCAAAATTGGTTTGGTATAAATATGGATCATCAATCTCCACCCATACCTGTTTGCACACTAGAATCTTCAGGGATATCCACTGAGTGCTTCACTGCCCTCACTGGTAAGGTGATCAGGGGCACAGTTGGCCAAGAAAGTGGTTCCACTATGTGTGTATGTCTTCATGAATCAAACAAAGACAACTTTGTGTGTGTGTGTGTGTGTGTGTGTGTGTGTGTGTGTGTTTTTACTCTGGTTGCCTTTGTTTTTGATGGTTGTACAGTACTTATTTGGTCTTTTATTTCATATGTTCAAGCTAAATTAATTTCCTGTTGTTCCCCTTGTTATTGACTCTGCATTAAAATAGCTTCAGATTGAGGAGTTTTGCAGTTGATTAATCATTTTAACAGCCTTTTGGGTAAAGAGGAGCCCATATTTTCCTAGGTATTCTGTCAGATGCCACACGTAGCACAATGATGATATCTTAATATTATCTGTTCACTGACACTGTGTTTTTTGTTATGTTTTGTTTCTATTTTGTTTTGTTTCTAGCTCCATCAACCTTCCCAGACACAAGTAGGACAAGGAGCATCGCAATCTAACCTGCTGCATTTGGCTCACAGTCAAGCATCCATGTCTCAAAGCCCAGTGCGCCAGGCTTCTTCCTCTTCCTCTTCTTCCTCCTCCTCTTCAGCTCTGAGTGTTGGTCAGTTAGTCAGCAGTAAGTCTAGCACTCTTCTGATCCTTATTTCACCTTGTCCCTCTCCATTCCCAAATCTTAGATTTTCTGAGAAATTTAGAAACACTGCCAACTGGAAGAACTGAAGAATCATTAAGTAGTACAAACACATGATGGCAGACAAACTAGCAGCAATAGATTTTAAATTCAATTCAGACTGCAACAGTTTTGTGCAACAGATATTACTGGGCTTCTAATAGTGACTCTGTATTCATTGCTGACATCTACAAAAACTATGGCTCTTCAAGATCACTGGATAAATGCATATTCATTCTTTGATAAGTGGCTCAAATGAATGAAGTCAATATTGTAAATAGAACAATCTCACACTGAGTTTTGTATCTTCCCATGTAACCTCAGTTTGCAAGTTTTCTGCTCAAGCAATTCACATGTTCATCTGTGAAACACTGAGTAACAGGAGAAATCCTGAAATGATATCCGTACCCGCACATATCTATGTAGACATTGGATCTCTGCAGTTGTTGAATGAGTGAAGAATATTCAGATATGTGAAACATTCTGAAATCCATTCACAGGCTTTGCAGTTGGACAAAAGTGGACTGGGTGCAAGAGCTGATTATTAGAATTGTTGAGAAAAATAAGGGGAAAAGTGAGAGTTAGTTAAGGCTTTCTGAAGAACTGGTTATAGGAGGGGCATAAAGGAGAACTGGGGGTGTACAGTCCACCAAACCAAATATACTAGGTGTTGGCTTACCAGAAATTTGCCAAAACTCCTGTGTTTTGTAAACTGGCTGGGGTTATTGAAAGGAACAATACATGATCACTGTGTGTTTCTTGGCATGGTGTTTCACAACTCAGGCAGATGTGAGCTAAACGATTAGAAAAGGGAAGTCTGTTGATAGTGGAAGAAACAACATAGCAGAAAAAATATGCTTTTGCACACTGAGAAAGGAACAAAGACAATGGCTGATATGTGTGTGACACAAAGAGCTTGTGTCTGAAAGGATACCAGCAAAATGGCTTCCCTACAATGATTGGTGCCCAAACTGTAAAAGCTAGAAGCCCATATGGGGCTGGAAACCAAGCCTTATGAGGAAAGATTGAAAGAACTGGGCATGTTTAACCTTGAGAAAAGAAGACTGAGAGTGATATGATAGCACTTTTCAAATATTTGAAAGGCTGTCATACAGAGGAGGGGCAAGATCTTTTCTCGATCATCCCAGAGTGCAGGACATGCAACAATGGACTCACATTAAAGGAAGCCAGATTTCGGTTGAATATCAGGAAAAACTTCCTAACTGTTAGAGTAGTACGACAGTGGAGTTGGTGAGTGCAGGCATTCAAGACAAACTTAGATAATCACCTGGCAAGTATGCTTTGGTTGTATTCCTGCATGGAGCAGGGTGCTGGACTTGATGGCCATGCAGGCCCCTTCCAACTTCACTTTTCTATGATTCTATATCACATGGGCTTCACATATCACCATCACCTTTTATGCCTCCATGCCTCTGCTCCATACCACTGGTGGCTAATGGAGAAGGCATGAAAGCCCACAGCATGGTGACCAGGGTGAGGAATAGGCCCCCACAGAAAGCTTATTTTCTGTGGAATACTCACAGTGATTATTACATATGCTCCATCCAAAATGGTCATTTTATTATTGTATTTATATACTTAAACACAGGGCTTTTCCAATCTCTGCTCAACCCTTTACATTCTGCTTCTCTCCAAGGCAGCTAATAATGAATTTTTAAATATAGTAATTGAAGTATTTGTTAAATTGTTTAAAATTCTCTCCCTGTAATCAGGATGGGCATATACAAGGAGTTAGCAGATGCTTGTTATTGTTACTTAAAGCAGGATAGACAACTGAGACCTTTGTTAGTGGTAATGTTAGTGGTAAGGGATCCTAAAAGTTGCTGTCTCTGACATATGCAGGACCACAATTGCCCATGCTTGATTTAGAAAATAATTCTTATAAAGAATGTTCAGAAGCAAAGTCCTCTTGCTGAAACTAAGCAGATCTAGCTCCATATGATGCCTGTGGGGAACAGGGTAGGGACAACTTAGAAAACATTTATCATCTTCTATGACAACCTTATAGGAGAGTAGGGGATAAGTATAGTCACTGTTGTTGTCGTTGTTATGTGCTGTCAATTTCTTTCTGATGTATGGTTGCCCTGATAGGGTTTTTGAGGTGTGTGAGATATTCAAAGTGTGGTTTATCAGTACCATAAACCCCTCAGTTAGTTTCCATGGACAAGCTGGTATTTGAAGCCAGGTTTCCCAAGTGTTAGTTCATTAGTCTATCTACTACACCACGCTGGTTCTCATAGTAACAATACCCAAAGAGAAAATAACACATTTTCCTAAAACCTTCAATTGTCCTTCCATGTAGAGGAAATTCCCTAATTCCAGAGTTGTGACGGGAAAAGTCCTGCTCTTGTAAACAGTAGTATATAAAATAGTGATATCTGAAATAAAACGTCCCCACATACCCTTACCTCATATGGAAAGACAAGTTACTTTCTTTATTACAAAGCTAACTCTATCCTATTTAATGCAAGCTAACAATTATATATGAAATATCTCTGTGTCTCTTGCTGGACAAGGAGGATTTATGGGAAGTTCCAGTCTGAATAGAATTTTAAGCACCATGCTACTAAATGTAATTTTACTGCAATAATTCTACAGAGAGATTGAGCTCTTAATAGTAATGGGCGCAAGCTACTATAATATAGTGGTCTGCACATTACATATGTAATCAGGCATGTACCTCCAATGTTTAGGGAAATGGAAGGATTATTGTGGTGAAAACATTTTACACCCCAAAGGCTCAGGAACGAGATGAAAAACAATACAGAGATCGTGTGGAGGGAATGACTTCCCTGCACGCAGGACTGAACTACCCTTTGAAATCTTCCTCTGTCCCAGTCCCATGCTGTCTCCACCAGCTTGGAGAACACTTTCATTTCGCAAGGGATCAGTTGCGGAAAGGGAGGGGGGATACCATTCTCCAGCTGTTGTGTCATTTCCCTTGATAAGTCTTAAATTGACCATGTTTCAAGCACCAAAGGAGCTTTCCTCTGGTAGATAGCTTTTATTATGTGCCCTTTCAGGGACAAAAGCTGTATCAGTGCACTGCAACAGAGGAAGAAGACCAATTTATTCTCACAGCATTGTGGGCATTATCTTCTGAAAATTCAGTGGGGGGGGGAATAGAACATGTGTGAGTTTTACCATTTGATGCTTGGACTTGCAGATGTTCAGCGCCTTAGGTGGCCACTGTTTGAAAAGCTCAAGAATGAAAAACAAAATTACTAATTTTGGAAATCTAGAAACAAGTTCCAGTTAAAATAATGTGACAGAAATAATCTTAAAGGTATATTATTTAATGAAACTGCTTTTGAGGAAAGAGCAAGAAGAATATCTGTGGTAAATTTAAGACAAAACATATTTTTCAAAGCTGAACATTCATTGAAGTGCCTCTATTTACTTGCTATAGCCTTGTTTCAATTCTTGAGTTGGCAACCCCAGGAGCAGACAGTATTTGTGCTTTATCTGATCATTTGCATTTTCAAATATTTAAGTTGCTTTCCAAAGCTGTCTGGGTAAAGTTTATGCTGCTTTTCATGGTGGAAATTGCTATCTTAATCTAATGTTTTTATGTTACGAATAATTCAAATAATTTTCAATTATTTCAACAGATCCCCAGACAGCCTCAAGTGAGGTGGATGGGGTGAACCTTGAGGAAATCCGAGAATTTGCCAAAGCTTTTAAAATCCGACGCCTGTCCCTTGGTCTCACCCAGACTCAAGTTGGTCAAGCTCTAAGTGCCACAGAAGGTCCAGCCTACAGTCAATCTGCCATCTGCAGGTAACAAGATACGTAGCCAATGCTTGTTTTGTTCCTCCACTTTTATTCTCTGAGGGCTTATTATTACTGTTTGTGGTCTTTATGAATTTAATCACAGGGAAATGGAAAAGAGACGGTTAGTATGGAAGACAAAGATGACTGAATGCTACAGTTATTAAGCAGAAACAATATATTTTGTCAAATGTCCATAAGATAACTTTCATGTTCTACCTCCTTTCTCTTCCCCCCCACGCCGCCGTTTTGTAACAAGTAGGAAACAATAAATAGGTTCCGGCCTTGAGACTTAATGCAGTAGTAAAGCTGGATGCCCTGCTGCTCCTGCATAAGCACCAGCTGACCCTCTTCATACTGTGCCATTTTCTACAGATGGGGTTACTAAACAAATATTTCATGGATGCCTCCCTGCTAGGTTTAAGGCTTGAGTACCATAGCCCACATTTCATAGCTAAGATGTTAATGATGATTTTCCTGAGCAATGCTGTGGAGGCTGCAGGGAGTGTGTATGCGCGCATGTGAGCGCGCGCACACGCACGGTTGTTTTGTCATGGCAATTTTTTGCAGATTTTCTAGGATTAATCTTCAAAGTGTATCAGGAAGAATGTGCTAAGGCAGAAGAAGAATGCTCAGAATGTGACAAAATTATGAAAACAAAGCCGTCTTTATACAGTTAAAGGTCTTGAGCGTGACGCTCCTATGCCTTCATGTATGTGAGTTACACTACTCCCATGTTTATGCATGAGGTAACAAACACACTTAGGTAACAGCTTTTTCCTCTTGGGCAATGCCTCGTAGTCCTCCTCCATCAGTGAAAGCCAGAAACCAACTCTAAGCTCATTTAAGTGGATTTTGTTCTTGGTGATCCATGAAATACTCTGTCTTTTTATCTGCTCTTTATACTTTTAATGTATTCCCCATAGAACGGATGTGTACTTTTCCTGCAGTTTAAGACTAAGGTTATAAATAACATCAGTATGGGGTAGTGAGCTTGCAGCTCACATTTTGCTCAATGATTTTCCATAAAACCCATTGATTGTTGTTAAATACAAAAAGCTCCGTAGGATCCTCTCACTTCTATGGCCTCCCCTACTGTTTTTTCTTATAAGATACCTCCCTGTAGAAAATAACCTTTATTCAGTCTATACAAGGATACTACTGCTGGGAAATTTGTTTCAAGGCTTGTATATTGTTATATGAAACCTCACATACTGAAACACAAACACTAACAAGCCACACAGTGTTCTGAATATGATATCCAACCTTCCCATTGCTTAATTTTAATTTTATCTCAATAGGCAATTTGGGAACGAAACCTAAACAAGCAATAATTTTTTAAAGCAACTGTTAGTGTGTGGCATTTCTACTAAATTGTATCATAGTGCAATAAATTAATGCAGTTCAAAATGGTTTGGTTTAATCTTCTATAGGATTTTGTTTTGGCTAATGAAGAGATGCTAGTGACACAGACCCGTACCTTTATCCTTTTGAAGTCAAAACAAAACCACTGAAGACTTCAGTGGTGCTAAATTTAATCAATTATATAAACCATGTAATTAATGTAATACAATTCCATATTAAATTCACTCACTGCACTCACATAATTCTAGATGGGAATTACCAAAAGTATTATTAGACATGTACAACTATATTTTTAAAAACTGATATTTACATAAATAAATTGTACACCTCCGTACTTTATTGTGCCTAAAAACTCACACCAAGTTATTGATACATTTGATATCATGTATACCAAAAAAGCAAACAAGGGGCAAATAGTAGAAAGATTTGTTGTATCACTAAGCAGTCATAAGATGTTGGTGGAACAGCCTTTTGTATGATCTCAGCAGCTTTGCAACAGAAGCAGGAAAAAGAACTGCTGCCTTGTACTACATAAGTTATACCATATACATATAGTAGATACTACATTACAGAGATATGGAGTGGGAGGTGTGAAGAAAGACAGGCAAGCAAGCAAAGAATAGCATTATGATGGACTGAACAAACAGTCTGTTAGGCTTCGAAGGTATGGACAGATGCTAGGAGCCTGAGAATGTGGCAAAGGGCAAGTGTGTAACAACTCTGGGGAACTTGCGGGTAGAGAGTCTTCAATCCACAGCATATGTTTGATGGATAAACACAAGATTCTCAGATCCAGAAGCATCACAGTCCAAGGGGTATGGGACTCACATTATACTCATTGCCTAGCTGCCAAAATATCTCAGTTCAGCTCTGACTTAGTGATCTGGAATCTCACAGCACTGAATCAATTTGACTTTCTACAGCAACTCACTCACAGAAAGTATTCAGAGTTTAGAAAAGTTATTTTTGGGACTAAAACACCCAGAATCTTCCTGCTAGCAAAACACTTCAGAAATACTGTATGTGGAATTGATGATATTGGGAGGATAGTGACTGGTCTCCAAGGGAGTATTGTGGCTGAGCTGGTATTGGAACTTTTATCTTATAGTAATCCAAATGCATCGCATGTCTAGAGATCACTTCCTTTAGAAAAATGCTGTTAAATTTCAATTAGGCTTTGATAAGTGATTTGTGCATCCACCTCTAGCAATTCCTACTTACCCATAATTGTTTGTGTACAAAACAAACAGCTGCCAGTTGCAGGATGCTACAATAAATATGGGTCACATCCTTCAAAGAACAATGGCACCACAGCATGATTTGCCATGATAGTAAACTAGACTGTCCATGCTTTAAATAACAGTATATTTTGCAAAAGCTATACTGCATATGTAAACTGGGTATTTTACATGACTGAGTGGAAAAAAATAATGTATGAAGCTTTAGAAAGAGTTGTGTGTTGTGTCAGTAGGTAAAGCCAGAGCTGAAATGGCCTTGGTTTTAAAGAGAATAAAGTCCTCAGTATAGAATTTTTTTCCCCAGGTGTTGCACAAGATTTGTAAAATCTGGTCTTGCAGAGGGCTTTTGATGGCAAAATGATACATAGAGGACCTCATTTACAGGAAATGATATCATTTGGCACAGTGTGCAGACATCCCACAATAAACCCAGCTTGATGCCACAGTATATTAGTGCACTATTATGCTGGGTTTCATCTGGAAGACATGAGTTTCTCTTAGTGCAACTACTTGTGTAGGTATTCAAAATAATTACAATGTGTCCAGCTGTTTGAACTGAAGACTGCAACAGCTTGGGGATTTTTTCCTACCCAGAAAAGGAACATAGTGTTAACTTGCATACAGTGAAAATTGCTTTAAAAGGGAAAGGAAGAGGAGACCTGAAATTCAAAGGCTAACAGCTGGTTTATGAAATTAAAACAGCAGCATTAGGGGTAATATGCTACTGAAAGGGAATAAGATCTCAGTAAAAGTCAACACAAAACAAAACAAACCACTGATGTCATTTCCTGTTTTTAACTGTGTTAAGCTCAGTCATTGCCAATAAGATTTTGAAGAACAGACTTTGAAATCTGATATGTGTACCTTAACAACAGGAGTTTTTTCCAAGAGTGAAAGCTCCAATGGACACACAGGACTATTATCTCCAGAGCGCCATCCATTTCAATGGATCAGGTCAATATTATAGCTATATTCCTGAATATATGCAGTCAATATTATCCACTGAAATGAACAGAGTAGCACATGTGCACCAAAGTTCCCTGTGAGCCTCTGGAAGCACACAGATCTCTGGACTGGAGCAATTGGTTATATTAAGTAGCATTATGGCAATTACTTTTATCACCATAATTGTGTGTGTGTGTTTAGATTATATATATAGATATATATATTTGTAAAACTGACAGTTTTCATAATCCATTGTAAATAATCTCTGCCAGTCAATTAGTCAGGCAGGCAGGAAGTCCCACCCTGGCAGAGCATCAGTGTAAGACTCTTCTTTTTCAATTTTCCCCTCAGACACACCATCCTGAGAAGCCACTTTTTCCTACCACAGGAAGCCCAAGAGAACACTATAGCTAGCAGTCTGACAGCCAAACTGAACCCTGGCCTTTTGTATCCTGCCAGGTTTGAAAAGCTGGACATCACCCCTAAAAGTGCCCAGAAGATAAAGCCGGTGCTTGAACGGTGGATGGCTGAGGCTGAGGCCCGCCATCGAGCAGGTATGCAGAACCTTACTGAATTTATTGGAAGCGAACCATCCAAAAAGCGCAAAAGGCGCACCTCATTCACACCACAGGCTCTAGAGATTTTGAATGCCCATTTTGAGAAGAACACACATCCCTCTGGGCAGGAAATGACAGAGATCGCAGAGAAACTGAACTATGACCGGGAAGTAGTTAGAGTCTGGTTCTGCAATAAGAGGCAAGCACTGAAGAACACAATTAAACGCCTAAAACAGCATGAGCCTGCAACAGCCGTCCCGATGGAGCCCTTAACAGACTCTCTGGAAGAAAACTCTTAGATGGATAGATTTATAGAAAGAACACAAAAGCAAAGGAAATTTGAAACATTTGAACTCTGTAAAGATGCTCTTTCACCACCCTTGTAAGTACAAGACTGAGAAAACTACAAGATGGACAGAACAATTTATAAATGTCTGTGGGTTTTCCTAGATAAAAACAAGCAGAAAAAAAACACAAAAAAATACACAGCACTTAGTGTGTGTGCGTGTGTGTGGTAGAACTAGTTCCAAAAGACCAGTTTTTTTTAATGGACTTAAAAGTAAACCAAATAACTGCTTACTTTTTTCCTGTATATTATGAAAATGTGAACCAGTTTTATGGAAAAAGAACACAACAGCAACAGCAGCAAACCCTTAACTGTTTGTAAAACAGAGAGAGAGAAAAAACAAGCCTGCCACCTGGAGGAGTATTGTAGCCTTTCAGGTATCAAGTGCTTCTTCACTATGAAAACTATTAACCAAAGTCAGAAACATGGCATTGCAAACTAGATTGTTAGTCTACTCTTTTATGAGTGATACATTGTCGTAAGAATTTTTACATTTGTACTTTGCAAAAAGGACAATTAATATTACAAGACTCTTTTTGTGTGTGCATCCTTTCTCACATGCCTAGCACAAGGGCAAGTGATGTTTGGTTTGAGCTAAAATGCTCAACCGTATTGTTTGTCACATGGTTTTGTGATCTCCAGATGTTCGTGTGCCAAAATGACTGTTTCTCTAAACTGTTCGGTTTCCAGATTTGTTTTATTTAATATTTTTAACTGGACTTTATTTACTTGCCTGTTGATTCCAATTTCATTGTCCCTTTATTTTGTCTGCCTTCTCCATCATCATACCATCGTTCAAAAGAAAACAGAACTTTTTTAAACATATAAAATATAATGTTATATAATGTTATCTACATTAAGGACATATTAAGTAACCTGAAGTTTTACTTACCATGTACATCTTGACCCTTTCTCTGTCCTTTGGCCGCGAACTGGGAGAGGTTACCAAAGCTACTTTTGTAATATATATATAAGCTGCACACTTGGTCCAAATGTCCTGCATCAGTGTTTATGGTTCTACCTATGTGAAGCAATTTGTCTCCAAAGTCTGATAGCCAAAGAAATTCCTTGGAATTCTAATAGAACACAAGCTAATGGCAAGTGGACAGAAGTAACAAGGACTTATTTTTTTCTTCTGTTACTGCATCTCTAACTCTTCTTTTCCTGTTGCCACTTTTGTCCTTTATTTATTTATTTACTTATTTATTTATTTCCCTCTCCACCGGCAATAGCTGCTTTCAGGACTGGATGGACACAGATGGTGCTGTGTGGATGCCATAAGTTGCTAAACCATCAAATGAGCATTTATGAATAATGTATTTACTTAATTTTGGAACCAAGATCAGGAAACAGATCATGAACTCAATCTCAGCTATCATCCAAAATGCTATAGCCATGAAGTCAAAAGGTAAACAAAGGTAGTGATTAACTCTTTCTGTGTTACAGAAGATTGTCAAAGCTGAGGAATTCATAATTATATCCAAACGACTCCCAAAGAATGGGATTCAGGGCTTAGGTTGTGCTTCTATTTTTTTTATGTGTTTCCACTTGTTCCAGGCCTTGCCAAATACATCAGATTTTGTGATTTTATCATGTACCATTCTCCACCTAACCCTGGAATAAATCTGAAATGCTTCTGCACAACTAGTCTTCAGCAAAATCAGTGCAACTGAGGGTTAAACCATCCCAGAATCTCTAGCCTTAACGGTTCCACCTTTCTCACAGGTTCTTCCTTGTACACAGAAAAATATGAGGAATTAATTCTAGATACTGTGTTCAGTATGAAGCAGGGTGACTACAACAGACACTTCCACTGTGGATCTAAGTCTTCAATTTTTTTTAATTTACTGCCATTAATATAAAACATTCTTTTCAGGCATAATCTTTCAACAATGCTTGCCCAACAGAATTTAGGGATGGATTGTGCCTGAGATTTTTAAATTCCTGTAAAATTGCTAAGGTGTGACCTCAAACCACCACACAATTGTTTTCCTTTGTTTCTTGGTTGGTTGTTTGGAACATGCTTTGCGTCAAGACACGTAGTGAATGAAAAAAACTGCATTTCCTTGGAACTCTGCTACAGATTTTATCGTGAAATATTTATTTGTGTTGGGGGGGAATGATTATGCGAATTCATTCTCCTTCTAAAACTTCCATGGAACCATTATTATAGAACGAATGTGAATGGTTCCAAGATTCTAAATGAAGTCTTCTTTCATCCAAAGTAAAAATCACTGGCTTGACCCCATACAAAAACCATGTGCTGATATCCTTTCTATGGCACAGAGTGTGCAGGCAAACAGCAAGGCACATGTGTTCACCCTAAAAAGCAGATGTAGTAAGTGCAACAAAGAGGTATAAATATGCCTTATTTACATGTTTTACACAAGTCAGAGTAATGGAATAGGGATTCAACAGGGGCAGGTAAAAATTGATATTTACTAGGATTTAGATACTTCTTTTTGTTTCTTTTGTTTTTCTTTCATTCATTTTGTTTTCTTGGCTGACATTAGATTTCTCCTTATTTCAGGAATAAGATTACTGAAATTATTATTCCTGCCAACAATGTACAATATCAGGGGACTTCGCAGTATAACTGGAGACCTTACAGGCTGGGACAGGAACTTGCCTTACTGACATTCTAGGAACTGAGATGTTCAGACAGAGAAGGGAAAAAAAGAGCCTAATAATGACCCAAGTCCATCTGTTGTGGACACAGTGGAGATGATAACTGATTTAACCAGGGCTGTTTATTTGCTCTGGGGTTTAGCCTGAGCTTTACAGATGCTATCCATGGTGATGAATCCTACCATCAAAATATCCTACCTTAGTGAGCTCTTCTAACGTTCTGACTAAAACATGAAGTGTACAGTGGTGCCTCGCTTAACGATTTTAATTGGTTCAAAAAAAATCGCTATGTGAAAACATTGTTAAGCGAAACACCATTTCCCATAGAGATGCATTGAAAACCGGATAATCCGTTCCAATTGGAATGGATTACCATCCTTAAGCGAAAATCCCCATAGGAAAAAATGTTAAGCGAAACCCATTGAAATGCATTGAAGCCTATTTCAATGGGGGAAAAAAATTCACAAAAAAATCAAAAAGACTCAGAACAAAGCCAAATTAAGTTAATGAAGGTTTTATTAGGTGCACTAACGATTCCAAGCATTTTAAACATTTTTTAAAAATTTTAGAATATTTTAAAAATAGCAAAAACGGGGCTGTAAAAAAAACGTTAAGCGAAACAAGGGGACCTAAAACTGTCATCGTTAAGTGAAGCATGGTCCTGAAATCGTTAAGCAAAAATCGCCCATAGGGAAAATCGTTAAGTGAAGCACAAGATCACTCCAAAAAAGCCATCGTTAAGTGAATTTTGCGTTGTACGAAGCAATCGTTAAGCGAGGCACCACTTATTCCTTTCTCTCATGCAATCAATGTCACCAACCGTCATTGTGCATATACAGACTACATCTGGCAGACTGTACAAAACTTTAGATTTGCCATATGTGATACTCCTGAAGTATCTTCCATACTTATTTTGTGGTATCTTTTGCTTGTTGTACAGCAAGCTCTAGCAGTCTGAGGCCACAACTCCAACCTTTACCTCCACTAATCAATAACAGAGAGTAGGCTGTGATTGGAATAAATCCAGGTAACACCCAGATTTAAGTACAAAGGCTTGGGTCTAATAACAAATAATAGTGACGATAACTGCAAATTTTTTTATATAACTCTCCCCAAGCAGCTATACCTAGTTACAATAGGCTTATCACAGATGGAAATAAAATTGTGAAATAGTGAACAAGAAACTGACAGAACTGTCAAGAACTGATCAGTTTTGAACCTCAGCCTCTTAAAATTCTGCCTATAATCCAGTCACACATTTTCAGTTCACAGCAGCATTAGTCTGAACATAATTCCTGAAAGTAAATATACCAGCAATTTGCTCCTTAAAAACCTGGATTTCAGATTCTCATTGAAACTGTTATATCTACAATGGAAGGGAAACAAAAACAAAGCAAAACAAAATAAAAACCAGGAAATAATGTTATAAAGAATCTAAAACACCTTCCAGTATCACCACAGCAGTTAGCTAAAAAGTATTTCCTTTCTGAACTTTATGCTGAAATGGTTTAACATAGGGGAGTGATCACATGAAATGAAATGAACTGCCAGCCAAACAATGAATTTGATTTCCATTCCTGCACTCTTGAAACCATTCATATTCCACATTGTTCTGTTTTAGTTATGCATTGTTTTACGACTGATTTATAAAGGGAAAGATGTGTTTTTTAAAAAATAATAATCTTTTTTTTTCTGGCAATGAGGCAGAAATGGGTGCCTGAACAAACATGTGTGTGTAATTTATGAAGGCTGCAGGTAAAGGGAAAGTCTCACTTCACTCCAAACAATATTTATAATTATCATTTTTAAATACAGGCTGGAGTCCAAAGATTCCAACAGGCACATCCCTAAATAATTTCTACACATATATTGAAGTTGTGCCAATTTTCTCTTTCCCTGCAGCCCCAAAGGCAGCCCAATCTTGGAAGACAGTTTTTCAGATGGAATGAAGCACTGCAACAGGAAGGAGTGTCCAGAAAAGCCCAAGATTTCATTCAAAGAGCAACTCTTTAAAGGCTAGTTGAATTGTGTAGGCAGCAGTGACATAAGAAACTACCTTTCACATTTCAGGGTGGCAAAAAAATAGTAGCTCTGTACCAAACAGTGGCGGAAACCAAAACAAAACAACACCCTCTTCCCAAGAATTTCACCATGTCTGTTTTCAGGCACAATCCTAAATCACAGTTAAGCATCCCAGGAATATGTGGAGCCTCCCTCTCACCTTGCACACATACACCCCATTTCCATCTGTGTTATAGCTACAAGATTGGAAGCTTTCACTTTTGTGTGAGGCTAATCACAGTTTAGCATATTGTCCTGACACTGAATTGTAGTTGAACAGCCTCAATGGTAGTGAATGAAATCAAGCCAGCTATATAACTTGTACTTGGAAGTTAGCTTCTTTCCATCAATCAAGTTTAACTGCAGTTGATGCAGGTTCAGGTGTGGTGATAAGCTGTGGTTCAAGAAAAGCTGCAGTGAACCCTTCCAGACCCCTCCATGCTTTTGAAGGGGATGAGAAGTCAGAAGCGCAGAAAGAATCCAGGCTCCTCCTCCTCATAAGACCAATGTAGAGTATAGCATTACAACCCAACCAGTTCAGTGGTATTTCGCCTTCTGTGAAAAACAGTGAGTTTTGCCTGAAAGGCAATCTAAAGATGGCTAATTCTAGGAATATCAGTCAATAAATGTATTGTGTTTTGTCCCTGCTGTCTTTTTTTCAAATCACTAAAGGCCTAATCCTAAAGTTTGCTGTATATACAAAAAAAGAAATACTAAGGATGGGATGTACCACTGGAACAGCTCTGTGTCACAAGCCACTGTGTTATATCAGTGTAGCAGACACTAGTTTGATGTCTGAAACATATAATGATGGAAATGCATAGGTATGGAGTGTAGAACTCCACAGAGCAGGAAATAAAAAATTACCAAATCCATTCAGAAGTTTTCCATTTAATTTACACTCACAAAGAAGTAAATAGACCAAGAAAGCAAAAAGGAGCTAAGAAGGAAGAAGTAGAGGCGTTTCAAAGTACTCAAGCTATAACCAAAAAGAAATATGTATAATGCCTTTGCTCGTCTTCTCAATGCTGGACCAAAGCTCAATGTATGTAGGTATATGCACATTGTATAGATATGGCTAAATGTTGCTGACAATCTTGCAATACTAAACTGTTACTATTTTAAGAAAAAAAAGTACAGAAAGAAACTGTTCATCAGTGTTTTACCTCAGCACTCAATTGTACCCA